TTCAAAGGCGTTTGCCTATATTTCCTTCAATAAATTTGATTTGACTTGACTTTGACTACTTAAGGCACATGCAATGTCTGCCTACTCCTCAACATTCCTAGTTGCCAGTAAACGCTATTTTATAAAGCAAAGAATGAATGCAGTGCAGGTCGATTTCGTTGGATGAACTTATTAATACTGGCTTCGTGAATGCGTCCGTGCAATTGGCAGACGTTCGAGAAGATTGCATCTTTCGCAGCTTACCGCTTGTCTGTTTGATGTTAAAATATCAGTTTCCTTTATAAATCCGCAAATCTCCGACTTCTGCAAATATTCCTAGGTTAAATTTGAATATTCAACTTGGCAAAAAAATTGCTTTCGGCCATAGAATACGTGTGCACAACATGCAATATTAGCCAATGGTTTGTACTCTATTAAAGAAAAATCGGTTAAGTGTATAAATAATTCTATTTTGAAATGTTTGCCTGCTTTGTGAACGAAAATGGGTTTGCATAATGATATGAAAATATGCATTGCTGGAATGCTGATTGTTCGCAGTGAGGACAACGGCACTATTTAGACCGGGCTGGAGTCTTTGTACCGCTTCTCCAGTATTTATTCGAAAAAATTAAAATATAAGCCAACTGAATATTTAAATGGTAGTCAGTCAGCCAAGTGTAGTCTGCTTTTGGTGAACTTTCTGTTTCCTCTTGCAACTTTCGCCAATCCTGTAACTAGAAGTTGCATTTACGCTTAGCCTCGCAGTGCTTGGGTATGCGTGTGGAAATTTAATGCGCCCCCAGACCTCGAGAACTGCACGTGTAGCAATGTCAGAGACTTTTCCGACTATCGACATGACAGCTATATGCACAGAGGATAATCACCCGCTAAACAATTATGTAAACGCCTAAACTCTTCTCTAGTAGACAAACATTTATGACTGCAAGCATACTACTCCATTGATTTCCATGCGCCATGTGTAGCAATGTTGGAGGCTTTTCCGACTATCGATCCTACAGCAAAAGTAAACCCGAGAGCTTTTTCCACGATGTTTAGTGGTCAGGAGCCCTAGTTTAGCCTTTATTTGAACTGCCTTCTTACGTTCCACTGTGTCGCACAAATGAATACTCTTCCTTCTTCTCCCAAAGAATCATGTGGAAACGTGCCAACACTGTTTGGGAGTTTGTCCTGTGTGTGCATATTTAGGAAAATCATGTAAACGCCCAAAGTCTTCTCCAGCAAATAACATGCATGCCTACAACCAGACTACTGCATTGACTTGCACGTACATTTTACTTACCTTAGGGGTGGCTCAGGTTCAAATTTCACAGGGACAATGCAGTCAACCTGTTGTACGTTCCTATTTCGCAAACATTTCCTTTTTTTAAGCACTCATATTTCATAAAAAGGTTTAAGTATTTTTGCATAGAAAAACAGCTTGTAACGGTTTTTTTTATCTTTACTACTTTAATGTATTCCTGAACTGTTTAAATAGGGTTTTTAAGGTCTTCTGTCATTAACTCCACATACACTGAGTAACAAAGTGTGCACCAGTTGCCCAGTTTGCTTTTTATGAGTGGAGGAAAATGAAGGATCGTACTTGACGAGTCTCGTTGGTGTACTCATAATAGCCATCATAAACAGTAACACATCAAACGTGTAGTATTAAGCTATATGTTTTTCAGCCTGAAAGGTGCATACCATATCCGGATTCATATTATTTTACTGTCATGGGGTATTTTTCCCGGCAGAACCACAGGCCTCTGGCAATGAGGGCACAGAGGTTGTCGTGGTTTTCAAAAGACAGCATGCCGGTAGTATGGTACAAATTATGCGTATCACTTCGCGCACGGTCCTAACGCAGATGCTGTGTGATTACAATAAAAGACATGATTTCTCAGTTGCCTTTCCATAAAAGAACGTACTCAGACAGCCAATTGGGTGCCCGTTAAGAGGATAGCCAAGGAAGTAAATATGCCGTCTGATATCAGGAAATATACAGTTAAGTACAGCACAGAGTGCCCTTGCAATATTTGCGTGTTTGGTTGGACACATCAGCACTGAGTGAACGGTTTGCATTTCCGAAAGACTGGATATATTCGCTCGTAAAGCATCAGTTCTTTGATTGATGTTTGGATTGAAAAAGGCGTCAGATTTTCCCAAACAAGAAAAAATAATGTTTAGGAATCGTAAGCGTTCGTATCCTATTGTCATTGTTTTTTTGATGCTTCAAACTGTTGTTCTATGCTGAATGCCTTAACTATTTTTTACTTTTTGAGGAAATGTGTAATGATTACATATTCTAAAATTCTGGTGTAAGATAATTTATTACATTGTGGCATGACAGATCGAGAACAAATCATATTTATCTCAACAACTCAAAGAAGCAACCAGATAGTTCCACTCAGCAAGCCAAAAAACAAATACACGGCGAACCCTTCCTCATATAAGGAATGTGTCTGAATTCGTTGAAAGGTACTTGCAAAAACACCAAATAAAAGTGGCGCACAAACGGACGGCTACTTTATGCACCCAGCTAGTACAGCCTAAGGATTGGGTTGGCTACCTCAATAAGAAAGGTATCTAAAAATTCAACGCTTGTTTTGTGATACCATGCAGACGAGGTTCCCGTATGTCCTCTTAAACGATACACCGTGGTTTATAATAGGCGACACCGGTTTCATAAGAGTGGATGTCTGATGTTTTCGCCCAATAACTCCTTTATCATAGCATCATCACCAGCGATTGATAATTAACTAGATATAATTTATCTTAAAAATATAGTAACATGATGTTTAGACATACTAATCCCACTGACCGCAAGCACAGCGGACAATTTAACATGTCTGCATTATCCCATAAACCAGGGAAGTCAGAAATCAGCTCTCAAAAGTATGCGATATGCTAGGATTTGAACCTTACTTTCGGCGTAATAGCAAACAACGAAAGTCCAACGCCTGCGAGATATTTTGATGAGAGGCAGTCGATAAAAGTTAGAGTCAATATGTTTAGGGTTGTCTCTATAAACGACTTATGAGAGCCCGAAAGGAGTGCACTTTGTTTCGAAATAGCATACATTAAAACTTGTATGCATTCAAATTCCTGTCAAGGAGTAAGGTAAATGATGAAAAAACAGAAGCGGAATGAGGCCGAAGGTCTAGTGGCATGGGTATGCACGTCCATATTTAAGGTTAGAACGTACCCTAACATGGCAGCCCACGCCCAGGACCAGCCCAAGAGATTCTTGCAGATAACCGTAGTTGAGAAGGCTTCGGTGAGGCAGGGGATGATGGCCATTTGAGTAACTCCTCCCGCGCCACTAACCCTAACCACCGCGGGATCGAAACTAAGGCCAGCGCGTAGAAGTATTGTTGCCAGAGCAACCTGGCGCAGCTTCGCGGACATAGGCTTGCTCACAAAGAAATAAGCAGAGAATTTGGTACGATTAACTGCCAAATTTTCATAATCGTATTCGAAAAACGCTTCGCTGGATACGGGGACAGGTGGGCGTGTA